TCCTGCTCAAAATTTATATAGTTGCTTTATTTAGCTTATTTAAAACCTGGTTCCACTCAGAGATCTACCAAATTATTATCTCTAATAAGAGATCGGAGGTTTCTCTTGAAGCTGCTCTCAAAGAGACGCATTCCTTATTTTTTACCATTTGTATGGCGGAAGCTAGTTTTTTTTTTTTTTTTTTCAAAGGGGGGGGGGGGGGGGGGGGGGAAGATCATAACATAACTCTCTACAAGCATGAGCAGTTTCCACTTGTAAAATTGCTAAGCTTTCACTTTTCTGTGTTATATAACATATATTGCTTATGAAAAACTCGGGTTTGTGCGGCCTGTCAAGACTCTTTGGCTGATACAATTTGTAAGACACCTATGGCCACGAGTTCGATCCCCAATATGTGTGGGATGGGCCAATCGTAAAGGGAAAAAAAAATGAAATGCTCCAGTTGGAATGTTATTTTTCATCTTCTTCCTTGATCTGGTCTAATATTGGAACATAATAGCTACATGCTCTTAATATGGGCTAATAGATATAGAGTTTCTTGTTTTAAGTTTTAAGGTATTAACTTACAAAAAGGATTTGCTTCACTTAGTAGAAAGGCAATCTATTGTCATGATGTGCACAACAGAGAAAAAACAAACCTTACGATTTATTGTGAATGTAGTGCTTTTAAAAGGCCAGTAAAATCAGTGGGAGAGTTGGTCAATCCACAATATGTTGACAGATATCATCCTACACATAAAACTAATTATTGGTTAAAATTACTTCGAAAAAAAGCTAGTTTCATTGGTTAATTCGGTATGTTAAGATGGATGCGTGAAAAAAAAAGGATAAACATTGATATGATTATATAAAATAAAATATGGAATAATCATTTATTGAACAAAGAAGTGAAAAAAAAGTTTACTTTGAAAATATACGGGAAGAAAGCAAAACATATAACCACAAGGCAATTATATAAACTATACAACAACAACAACAAAGCCTTGATCCTACTACATGTGATCGGCTATATGAATCTTTTTTATCCATATGTAAAAGAAAGAAAAAGAAAATGGGAGACCAAGAACAATATGTTATGTGCAAAAGATTTTGCATAAAAATAAATTAACACTTGTGTAGCACGCAACAAGAATGAATGGAGGAGATTTTATAATTCCAAAATCTAAATAGTTAAGATAGCTAATGATGAAGATGGTTATGAAAGAATTCCTTCAATTTTGAGATCCTTAACAACTTCTGTTTCAGCTACTAAACCAGTTCCAGAAGCCCAGTACTTTACCATGCAGAAAATCTCAACATTTGTTTGCCAAATCAACCATCTACGAGGACAATATGATAAAATTACTAAATTGTGAAATAACAGTACTATTTGTTCTTTAAAACGTAAATATTCATGCAGATGGCCATAAGTAGTAGAAGTATCCGATAAAGGATGAATAAAAGATGACGTCACTTTATTCCGACAGAAATAATAACCATAAATCCAGGAGTAAGCTATCAATGGAGAAAATTTCTGATAATTATGAGAATGTTACCCTCAGAAGCATCAATCCATGGTATGAAGGTTGTAGAATATAAAAGCTCATAAAGCTTCCATAGGTCATATTCTCTAGGTTACAAGATGATGAACACACAAGCCCCTGGTCGAGAGAATAAAGTGATTCACATAGTCCGTGGAAAACTGCACTTAACATCAAACAAACATTAAACAGATGCATGAAAGGCCAACCACAAATGAGAAATCAATCGAGCCTACTCACTTCGTGCATTCATCTCGTGCTCTTTTGAAGCAGCTTTCTTATCATGATATACTGGAGCAATAATATAAGATGTTCCCATAATTACACCTTTTACAATAGAAATGGAAAAATTTCACAACTTGTAGTATTTCTTTTCCCTGGAAATAAATACTGTTTTTGGAATATTAAGCAAAAAATCTACAATCACATGGTTTTGATCCTGCTCTCTCCAGAAAGAGAGTAAATCATCAATCAATAGGATAATCAGACGGAAATTAGATAAACATTAATTGCCAAACCAAGTTCCAAATGTGCAAAATTAAAAATATTGCTTTCTGAACCTTCATTTAGAGACGCCAGGCTTGTGCGTTCAATAACATTTAAAGTAATAAGACCACTGATTTTGTGGAGCTCAGATGAACTTTCAAATGAAGGAACAAATAGCAAAGTATTTCCTCCAACACTAATTGCATTCTCAATCAAATCAGATTCCCCAAGCTCCAAAGAGGTAACTGGACAAACATTCTTCTTAGCCTGCTTGTAAGCATCGCTGATGGGACATCCATGGCACCTGCATGTCTATAGTAAGCTTATCTTAAGAAGATCATAGAAACCTTTCTTAAAGTAGTTTGAATAATTGACTGTGCCGGAAAATAATAAAAGCATGGGAAAGCATGCAAACCGTTAAGGCAAAGCTTACTGGTTTAGAATATTTCAAGTTTTTCTTCACAAAGAAACTGAGAAAAAAAAAATAGAACACAGCAGAACTTAAATTCAATTTCATTACTTATCGTAATGTAATCTGATTTGCAGCCAATAAAGCCACGACATCCACTAAAAAATTCGTTCAACTTGACTATATATTCATGTCAAATGGAAACCAGATCTACAACATCACAGCCATTTTTTATATTACTAGGCTGGACATTTCATGAAATATGGCGCATAAATTAGTGATAACCCGTGGAAGAATATGAATAATTTATTATGAAAATAAAAAACTTAAAATATTATAAATAGTAACTTTTTTAGTGTATTCCCACAAAATTCACAATAACAGTTCTTAGGTGAATTAGAAATCCATTTGACAACCCGTAGGATGCTATGCATTCATGGGTCAACTTTGCATTCAAAAACTCCCTTTGAGATGCGGAGAAGTGACCTTGAAAAAAATAAAGATGTGGACAAGTTACCAAAGCAAACAAACTGAACGCCCAGGAAAAAAAATCCTAATCCAATATTGAAGCTGAAGTTTAAAAAAAAAGAATTGTTGAAAACCTAATCTGTACTAAAAGTTTAAAACAAACTCACCTGAGAGTTCTGAGTCGGAGGTGAATGGTGTAGAAGTCTCAAGTGTCGGGAAAGACAGGGAAAAGGAACTAGCTAGCACAAGTGGCACTGCAGGCATCGTTCCCTCATTTTGCTTCCTGCTTCATGCATACACCCTTAGCTCACCATCAAACTAAATCCTACCACATTTGGGTTCACTCCTCATTTTCCGATTCCTCAATGGATTCATCCCATATCACAACACAAGGCATTGCTCCCACATGTATCACTCTCTTACCATTGCTACTCACCTCTCTTGCCTAATATCTCAAGTATCTAACGAGTTACAGAAGGGTGAGGATACTTCCTGGGTCTAGCGCAATTCAAATTCTCTAAATGACATATCCATGCTCACAAAACAGTTTCTTTTATATCGGCTCTAGCAAACATACCCCTTTTGGATAGCAAAATAACCTACAAATACACATTTCATAGCTCTAGGAGTCAGCTTCCTTATTAATGGTCTGTTATCTTTTACAAAATATACGCATCCAAACACCTTTCAATAGGAAGACCTTACTATTATCTCCTTTCACCATCTGACAATGACACTTTTAATCAAACACCCTCGATGGCATTCTATTGATCAATTGAGCTGCTGTCAAAACTGCTTGGCCCCATAAATGATTTGGGACATTCATTGTGATCATCATGCTTCGGGCAACCTCTAGCAGGTGCCTCTATTCCTCTCCGCTTCTCCATTTAGTGCTAGTGTGTATGGACATGTTGTTTGATGCTATATCCCCAGGGCTGACAGGTATTCCTCAAATATTTTATTAGTATACTCTGTCAAAACTGCTTGGCCCTGTACCTGTCTCTCCCTCCTCGCTAACATTAGATTAGCCCAGTAGCTCTATTTTCCACATTTTCAACCAGCACCACGACCACGACCACAGTCTCCACCCTATCCACATCCACCTCTCTTTCTTTAGGTGTCCTAGGGCAAGTCTTGCTCAAATGCCCAATGTCATCACAATTATACCGCTTGTGAGTTCCCCCCTAGACACTTATCATCATACCTAAGCTCTAAGCAAGCAACACTGATCGCGCATCTGGAAGTGCACTTGGCTCATAATGTAGCTTCATATGACTCTCCTCTTGTATCATTACAACAATGGTCTTAACTAGTGAAGGGATAGCCGCCTAAGCTAGGAGGATTGATCTCCTTTGATGAAAGGTCGGGTTCAAGTGGTCCAAAAACTGCATAATCCTTATGTGTAAAGATCTCTCCTTTCTTGCACTATGGATCACCACGGCTCAACATCAGTGAGAAGTCATCAAGATCTGCCCACAGCCGCTCCAAATCTATGGCATATTCTTGAATCGATCTATCTATCACCTTATATCACTGCTTCAATCTCACACTGAATCTGAAACACCCTCATGTGGTTCTCTGTTCCAGCATAAACCCTCTTTAGCTTTGCCTAGTGTTCCTCACCTTTCGACTGTCACTACTGGGGATCCAATTGACGGAACCATTGAGTTGAGTAGCCAAGTGTAGATTAAGGAGTGTGTGGTTCTCCACATATCCCTATTAGCATTGTCACTCATTGGTTTGTCCCCAGTAAGATATCCCTCTAGTCTCTTATCTACTATAGCAACCTCGACCCGACGAAGCCAGCTCAGATACGTGGCTGATCCATAAAGCTTTAGCTCCACAAAAGTGAGATCTAGCTTCACCTGCACCGGAGCACGTGTTGAGGTGTGGCTCCCGTCAAGATACAAGATCCCCGTATGAGCCCGACCAAGTCCTTCAAAAATTTAGGATCTATATTCCCCAGACGCTCCAATACATTACCTCTCGCACTATCTCAGTCTCCTGATATCCTCAAACACAAGGCTAGAACAACATATCACACGAATTTGTACGAGGCAATCCCATCGTGGCCATCATAATTAGCTCAAATTGCGACTGTATCCTTCGGGTCACGCCGCAATCTCATAGTTGTTGTCCAAGTTAGGACACTGCAATCTCATTGTTGCCTTCCCAGTTAGCTCTAATTATGATTGTGTTGTGAGGGTCACGCAACAATTGTGTCATTGCCTTCTCAGTTAGCTCTAATCACGCCTGTATTGTGAGAGCAAAGTGTAAGGAAAACAAAAAAGAAAGTTTAAGGTCTCTGCATCCCGCGTGGTTGCATACTCATTACGATGTTAAAACAAGGACGCAGAGGTTCAGTGGGGAAGAAGTTTCGGATGGTGTTGGATCTCCATGCACCGATCCCATTTCATCGGATTGAGCAGTCGATGGTGAATCAAGCAGCTGACAGTGGATCGTGTAGCGATCCTACAAGCCGCGATCTTCCGCTGGCAGATGGGAACTTCAGGCCTCTTTGCGCCAATCCTGACCCTCACAGATGGCCAGGTTTAGCTCTGATGCAAAAAAAAAAAATTGTTGAAAACCTAGTCTGTACATTCGTAACATGGGCTTAAATAGGGTCTTTCAAAGTTTTATATATAAACCCTAGAATTCTTCAATATTTCCTTTTTACCAATAGGACCATAAATAAAGTCCAATTCTCAGCAAGTTTTAAAAGAGCCAATGAGCCCAAATTTAGAAATAAGAATTCCTTTGCATTTTCTTTTACACTGCCTAATCGTACAATTGATTGTTTTATTCCCAAGCAAGAAAATGAGATGCATTTTTTTATAGAAAGACGTAAAGATGCATAAAAGGAGATTCATTCACAACCGCTTGTTATTCATCTCATAATTCACTCAAAAAATTCCCATATGACTTGTGATGGAAATCAATAATTTGACAGCAAAAAATGGAGTTTTGCCAAGGAACCACTGCGTATGGACCATTTTTATGCAGATTTAGTAGGGTTGGTCAAGCCAATCTGTTTTCCTTAAATTGTTACAGATCAAACATTAGTCAAAATTATATAACTGCTACAGTTAAAATTTAATTGTATAGAAGGATAGAAATATATTTGTGTTCTGCTTGCAAGCTCTCTTACCACACAAGATGTGAAGCCATCAACAATCATAGAAGTGGAGGCAAACAATCTACAAGATATTTGGTTTGAAGATTCCCAAATGGCATGCTTAAAGGCAAGGACAGCGTTCATGCCATCTACATCATCCCTTAAATCTTGTAACCACATCTTGACAAGGCCAGAAAGGATCCAGGTGTCTGCAGCGTCCGATATATATTCAGGCATTAACTATTACATAATTCATGAATAACTAGTGACAAATAAAATACTTCCTAGTTACTAAAGATTAATTTATAAGAGAATCTACCATAAACAAGCCCTTGAAAATGAACTATTAGATGGTTTTATTGGAGGATTCCTAACAAATTGAAAAGCTTGATCGCCTGTTTAAGTTATGCACGGATTTAGAAGTGAAACTGTCATTAAGAAATACCAGCCAAAATTATGCATTATGCAATAATGATCATTCTCACTATGTCAAAGCACATACTAACTGCTATTGATCCCATTCAACTAAGTTGATAAAAAAATTTATTATTATTTACGAATGTACCCTTTTTTATTTTCATGTCATACCAGCACAATGTCTATGAATAAAACAGTTCTGATGCTGCTCGAAAAAGTCATTGAATTTGCTGAGGTTTAGAGATGATCCACTATTCAGAATGGCCTCCTGTTCCAGCACAACAAACTCTATTGGCACCTGCTTGGTGACTGCATCCTATAATCAGCAGAAATGCAAGCACGGACTCAACGAGATTGTATCAACTAATAAATCAATATGATGAAGATATTTATTGGAACATCAAATAGAGAAATAAATATATGTCGCATACCATGGAAATATTCTGAAGAGCTTCGGAGAAAATGTCAACCGAGGAAGCAGTTACAATAACTTTCTTTTGTATATCTTTACCGTTCCACATATATAAGAATTCATCGCTCAAAAGCTTTCTGATTGACAGTTCAACTAGAAGAAGAAATGGGAACAAAAAACAGAGCATGCTGACCTCATAGTTTCCACTTTAGAATATAGTCAACAAGGCGAGACTGATTCAGTGTCTGTTACCTTCATTATCACATTTAGTAGACATAAACGGACTAGATTCTGTTTGAAAACACTTGGGCAAATTATTGACTGCTTGATGGAAATCACGAAGATTGAAGTTTCCTCCAGGCCTATATGCAATCTTCAGCTGCAAGTAATAGTAGAAAAATTAGCACAGACATTCATAATGAAAAAGAGAGATTTATTGTTTAAATTGAAATAAGCTCATCAAATATCATGCCACCCAAAGATCAACTGAAATCCCTAAAACTCAAAATCATATAACGTCAAATCAAATCTACTAATCGATTATTTATTCAGCTAACAAGGAGAACAAGCAGCGTGCAAGCAACCATATGGTTTCTGAAGATTTATCTGCTTCCATCAGCTTTTTCCAATGTTTCAACTCAAGCTTTGATATCGAAGTTAATCCAAATCATAATAGAAAAATAAATATTATTACTGAAAAAGCCGATCAGGCTGTTATAACTCACGCTGGAAAAAGAAACTACAACAAACATGGCATGAACTCACGCCAAGGCTCGACCCATGGGTGATGAAAGTCAGCTAGGTGGTTGGGGAGCGAAGATAGATGGCTGAAATGGGGCTGTAGGTGGTTGGGACAGCCAAAGGAGGGGCCGGAATCATGTTGGGAGCAAAGCGAAATGCTGGGACAGCAAGGCCAGCAGGTGAAGTGGCGAGCGGAGTGACGATGCACGGTAGGAAAAGGCTAGATCAGCCGGGGGACAGCAGAAAACAGCAGGTTTACTGTTTTCCTGCTTACAAAAGCGATGGGGCGAAGGAACTGTAACGCCCAAATTAATTTGAGAATTGAAGTAAGTTCGAAACATGTGTAAAGTTCCCCAAAATTTTCATCCAGTATTTGATCGAAATAAATTTATAAAATTTCGATCAATTTAATATAAAACATCATGCATGAATTGTTAACGGATATGAAGATATAAAATTTCAAAATTATATATTTAATTAACTTAATTAATCCTAATTAATTCTTCCTAATCCTCTGTTATTGTAGCCCACCGACATTATGCAACTTTTATTTCTTTCGTGCGGTCGAATAGGGCACCGAGCTTTGCATTTTCCTCCTTTCCCAAATTTCTTCTCCTCTCTACACCGATTCCCCTCCGTGTTCCTTGTCCATCATGTGAAGAAGCGAGCCGTGACCCTTGTTATAGTCCAAGGGCGCGAGTAGTGAACCGAGCGGCTGCCTGAGTGCCGCAACTTGGGATTTAGGGCTCCAACACGATTTTCGTAAGTATTAATCCCTTTCTCTCGCCATTCTAATCTTTCCTTTCCTTCCTCACTCTTCGGTGTTGCCTTTTGTCTCATTTTTCGTGTTTTTCTCATTTCCGGTAGCCATCAGTGGCGACGATTTTGTGTCAGAAGTGTTGTAATTGATTTGCAAGCTTCCAAAAGAGTTTTAGCACGAGTTAGCGAGGGGGAAGTTAAGTTGAAGGTAATACGAAGAAGATTATTCAGTTTCAAAAGGACGATTTATGCCGAAAAGCCTATCCCAGGTATTTTTTGAGTGAATAATTTATGTTTTGCGTTAAATCATGTTATGAACCCGAATTTCATGAATTCCTATGATGTCAACATTCCTTAGGTTGTGCATATAAGGCAGCAAGCTCGAAGCGAGCGTATAGAAACTCGTCTTAGGAATGCTCAGTTTAGTCAGGTGAAATAATTTGTGCTAAACTAAGAAAAAGTACTCTTCTATTAGTTTCATATGATTTTTAATTTGACACCAATGCATTTAGGAATTATGGCTTATTGTCGATGGATACCTTTAATTAATTTATAAATGCAAGTTAATTTTTATTATGCTACACGTGATTCTATGTTATTTGATGATCCAGATGATTATGCATATGATACTAATTGCTTGCAGGTATTCATTATATTATGATTCATATTTATGAAATATGAAATGCTTAATTGCAGGAATTATGCATTACAAAATATCTGACGAATGTTGCTATGGGTATTATGTTTGCTTGCAAGTAGTGCTATGCGTAAACTATTATATGAATGCTTGCAAGTACATTATGCAGGGAAGTAGTATTTTTGAATCCTGATATTTATACATCGATGAAACTCTACAAACCGTTGGAATTAGGCGGTGATAAAACGTTAAAGAACTGTGGGTATTAGGGGGCTTTCGATTATTACTATATTGGAAGGTCACTTGTAAATGTTACTTTATCGATAGTTTATGTAGTCTTTCGGACAGGGTGAGGATCTGTCATCAAAGAATATGGAAATAGTTGAACCTTATACATTTACAAGTGACACTACCATAAAATAACACATATTTGTGATTACATGCTCATGATTATATGTGTATGAACAAGCATGTTTACACAATAATCTTGACTCTTACTGTATTTGTTTTCTATTCATGTCCTCTACTATGCTAGTATGTTATGACTCGTGTCTAGACTTTTACAGTTTCATTTAAGCATGCACGTTACTTTCTTCTCGTGTTTAAAATCTTATTTTCGCCCAGGTTATTTTGTTGAGCTAGTTTTACTCACTCTACATTGTTGCCTTCTAGGTAAATGCAACGCGCACCGGGGCGAGTAGCCAAGTGGCTTTATACAAATTTTGCACAATAGTTTTGAGAGCTTTGTGCAAACATTTTAGGTACGTATATTTTTTTACTATATTAGATTTAGCAACTATGTATATATATGTTTTGATGATATGATTTTCATGCTTCTATAAATATGAATGAACTTTGATATACAATGTATCACGTATGTGTTGCGATCCAGTTAGGCTAATTCATCACCCACTGAGTTTGAGTATTGTGAGAGTTGGCACAACCATATTGTCAGCCTCTATCGCATCTCAGCAAGCGCCTTAATGGAGGATCAATTGGGGTGTGAAAGAAAGTAGTATCAGAACATAATTATTGGATGAAAGAATAATGGAAGCGTGTTGGATTTAGAAGAATGAGATCAAATATAAATTGATTTATACAGAGCTATAATTTGATGAATATGGGATGGGTAAACTTACGACTTAAGGTGTCATGTGTGCACAATTAAATTTTTAATGATAAATTACATTTAAATAATAAAGTGTCTCTATGTGTAAAGAAGAAAAATAAAGTATTGAAGGCATGTTTATTGGTGGACTACATGCAAAACAGGAAGTTTGAGCTAAAACTAATTTGAGCAGAAATTAAAATCAAAATAAGACAAATGCATACACTGAAACAACATCGTTACAGGGCATTGTACAACCTATATCACAAGTGGTTGACAAAATGGTTATCATCAAAAGATCCTTTACCATTACATGGCCCAAATCTGAAACTGGGACAGAAGTGGATTGACACCTAAAGATTTTTCAGTCTTTCAAGCCACTTGCATTCAAGGGTGTCAGTGGCCCTACAGTTGCTGAAGATTTGCTTCAAAAATCGGAAAATTTTTAGATTGTATGAATTATCAGAAAAATGGGAGAGTAGTGTTAGCTACATTCATGGTAGAAGGTGAAGCAGAAAGGTAGCAGCAAGCGCAACATAGAGAGAAATTTCAGTTGACTCCTCTACAACAAATTCAATGGGATGAGTTTGTTAAAGTCTTCAAAAATTGGTTTATTACGCTTTCAGCCAGATTAGCAGTGCAAGATAAGTTTTTAAATTAACTCAACGGTTCAAGACAATTATGCAATATGAGGCAAAATTTACTTCTCCTTTCAGATATGCACCACACTATGTCAGTACCCGAGGGAAGCACAAATTTTTGCACGGTCTCCAAGATCAGTTGAGGGTGGCATTAGCTCCATATAAAATCAACGATTTCTCCGTATTTATTGAAAGGGCAAGAATAATTGAAAATAAGGTGAATTTTATAGTCAACAGTGGCAACCTTAGGCAGATAGGCAAAAGGATTTGGGCAAAAATGAACACTTCCAAAGCAAGAAACTTAAACAAAATGGTAAGCAGAAGCAGCTTAAGATAGAAAAGTCAGTTCGTTAATTATATAAAAAAAAAACACTTTGGGCAGTGTTTGATTGGTTCTGAAAAATATTACAAATGTGGACAGCCAATACACATCCAAATAAATTGTCCATACAAAAAGAAAAAAGACGGCATACCCCACAAGCAATCCAAGGACCGGGACAATCCTGAAAAATTTTGAAAAGCAATCAGCGTAGCATAACTCAATTTTTTGGAATGACTTCTGTACCAACGAAGGTTGAAACTTTAGAGCGCTGAGTTGAGCAACCAATAAAAGCCAGATTTTTGCAATTACCTCTCAAGAAGAACTCCAATAATCTGAAGATGTGGTTACATGTATGCTCCTAATTCAAGATCAGTCTGGCATTATTCTATTCGATTCAGGTGCATCACATTCATTTATTTCAAATAAATTTGTTGCCAATTTACATGTTGACATTATGAATCTTAATCTTGTTTTGTGTGTTATTATGTCATCGGGAAGTGATTTTTATGTCAATAAAAAATGCTTAGTGCATGTTCATGTCCGTGATAAGAAGTTGTCAGAAAAGTTGATTATCATACCAATTCAAACTTGTGTTGATATTTTGGGGATTGATTGGTTGATAAATCATTTTGCTACAAATGAATGTTGAAAAAGATGGGTGAAGCTGAAATTGCCTGGTTAAAAGTCGTTTATCCTGATCTGATTAGTGCAGTAAAAGAGGCTCATTGAGATGCAATCCAACAACTCGCCGATATTTGAATTTTCAAACTCTAACCAATGGTTGATTGGAGAATCTGTGGCAAGTTTGAAAGTAAAAGAGATCTTCGAGATCAAAGATGAGGAACATGAGGAAAAAATCTATCATCACGAACCTCCACTTAGAGCTCCAATTAGGGGTGCAATAGAGGTTTCTGATGAAGGCGGTTGGCCAAGATATAGAGAAGGGATTATGTGAGAGGTATGGAGGAGCGCAAAGAATAAACATATGCATAATATTTATTATATACAACATATACTTACCGTTAAAATAAAAATAAATCCCTGGATGTATCCCAATGACTGATTGCGTCTTAATTTAACGACGACGATGTTCACTTGATCAATGATAAAGTCACAGATGGTAGCTTGCTAATTATAAGAATCAAATGACTGTACATTTCACCAAAAGAGAGAAGTTTCACGGGCACACTAAAATTGCTCGAGGAAAAAAAGAAATTCGTTAGTAAAAACTTCAAGTCTAACTCAAAGGGAATGAAAGATCCTCATACAGAAAACTTAGTCAGTTGGTCCTTTATTTGTCTAGCATACACACCAGACGAGGGGGTTTTCTTCCAAACAACTACCTCCTCTCTATTAGGCATACTTAATATCAACGTCAAGTGGTCATGGTGCAATTTAACTTCTTTCCCACCCATTCTGAGCGCCCTCCTCTTATTATCCAACATCTCAAAATGTGTAATGTCAACACATTGTCCTGTGGATATGGAGGCATATCAAAAAAAATGGAAGACATTCATTTCTTTCAAAGAATTCATTCTCCTCTGAAACAAGATGTCTGACGGTATCCAAAATACCCCTCACTGCAGAAGGACGACATCTACAGTTGAATGTCCTTGCGTTCATAACCTACAAAGGAAATGAATGAAAAGAAAAGCACCAGAATATCACAACAAAAAAGATAAATAGGTGTTATGAACACAATAACACCCAATAACACCAGAATATCATCACAGTACTACCACTATGTTATTCAGTTATTAATGAGTTTAAACACATAACAACATGAAAAACATGAGCAACACCCAAAATCAAAGCAATACAGCACATACACAACTTTCAAACACAACATGAAAGAAAAATAGGTGTTATAAACTCAATTACACCCAATTACACAAAAATAACACTTCAACAACTATCAGTGTGTAATTAAGTTCCATAAAAGACATCAATAACACCCAAAATCAACACAATACAACACATATACAATTTTAAAGCACCATATGAAAGAAAAATGTGTTATGAACTCAATAACACTCGATTAATATCAAAGAAATACAACTGTGTTATTCAGTCATTAAAGAGTTTAAACACATATAACACCATGAAAACATTAGTAACACCCAAACTCAAAGCAATACAGCACATACACAAAGGAAAGAAAATTAGGTGTTATGAACTCAATAACACCTAATAACACCAGAATAACACCAATGCATAGTTTCATTCTCGTGTTATTTTCGTTTTATTGTTTGGGATTTCTTTGGTGTTATTTCGACGATCACACCATAAAACCTCCAGCATTACCCTAAGGCATAAGTACATAACACGGCAGTAACACCAACATGTCGTTTTCATGTTTATTGTCGTGTTATTTTTGGTCTTATTAAGTTTCATTGTGTTCGGAAAAAAAAAATTATTTGTTGCAATGTTGAACAATACCTCAATGACTTTGGAGCACTCCTATGTTCTTTTGTTTCCTTGCGAGCTTTCATATTGTCGTACTATCAAACCCTAAACCTCTGAACTTCAAACGACGAAATGACTTTTCTTTTCTGTTTCGAACAATGGCTATCCTCTTTAGAACAATGGTCATCTTCTCTACCGTCCACCGAAACCCTAGCTCCGAAATCCAAAAGTCGAAACGGAGAAAAGGTGCTCTTTGGACTCTTCGCGCTCCTTTTTAACGTAATATGTTTTCGTAATGTTGAATGTTCGGGTTAGGTTTGGGTCGGGCGACGCATGCGTTCTTTTTTATCGGAATTCTATGCGGGTCCCAGAAGGTCAGGTGTCCGCATTTCATTGGACTCCGAACATATCTCTACATTCGAAGTCCGGACGTAATATTTTTCCCGGCCCCAGAGATGGAAACCGCGATCCCTTTGTTAGGTTTCCCTAGGCAATCAGATCTCTGTGCACTGCAATCCTTCGCATCCTCTCTGATATCGCAGGGTTCCGCCACGAAGCGTAGTGTTCTTCCAAAATAGTGGCTCTTATACCAATCTGATATGATTCTACGTCAAGATCAACATATTTTCCACAAAAATTAGGCAAAATAGATATTTTATTTTAATAATTCAAATAACTCAACAATAATACAAAAATAAGCACCTATGACTCAAGAGTTAGGCGATCTCTCCCAATTACTAAAGTTTGAGAGTTAGGAAATCTCTTCCAAAATCTAAGCCTATGACTCACACAATTCAATCTCTTGCATAAACCTAACTCTAACACACCTATTTAGACCCAACAATAATAACAATAAAAGACAAAATTATCCTAAGTTGTATAAAAGATAAATTTGTCTTTACGCCAGGCGCTAGGGTAACAATGCCTTCTATGTGGATATGCCCATCCAAAAGGGAATGTCAATCTCTAACTTAAAAACGTTGAATCTGGGATCTCGTTCGGGGAATCTCTGGAAAAATTTCTATGGGGCTCTCTTTAGTTGAGCTAGAAGGTCATGCCGTTATGGATGTTCTGGCACATGATACAATATAGCGATTTTCCCTGTTCCTGGCAAAGATGTCTGGTTGGCTAGTGCAGTCGCTAGAATATGTAACTTATGTTCCTCAGATTTTGAAATTAATGTTTCATTTTGATCATGGATTGCTAAAGGTCACAGGACAAGGTATCAATTATGTTTTCAAGGCTCAGTTGAGTTGTCCACAACGATTCTAAGCTCAAAGAGCTTGTTGTCTAATTCCCTCTCTCGCAATTAACGCCCAATCAAGGTGCTCTGATACCTCTCTAGAGTAAAATTGAAACAAGAAAAGAAAAAAAAGAAGAAGAGGAAAAGGTAAATTGACTCAATAGTGGATTATTTTAAATGATCAAAAATATTTATTACAAGAGATATCACCATCATCACCCTTTTTAACCAAGAGCAGCGAAGGAAAAAGTGAAGGAAAAAGCAGTCTATTCGCATGTGTACATGAAAAACTGTAGAAATAGAATGAAATTACAGGCTGAAAATAAAATTTAAGAGACATAACTATATAAATGAGCACCTAAGGAGCTATGCAACGCTTCTCCGCATATTACAACAAGTACTCTCCCATTAAGAAGCTTTCCTCAAGTAATGAAACCTTCAAAACTGCTAAGGGTAATATTATTTCGTTGTGCTCATCTTCAAATAAATGAATACAGGTTATAGTGAATGTCTCTCTTTTCACAAGCAATAAGAAATAGCCCCAAGTTGTGGGAAAACATCAGGTTCGCTTCTAGGTTTTTACTGTCGAAATTGCTGTTTTAAATGCATTTAAATAAACAAATGTAATCAGATCATACAGCATTTTCATGACCAAGGTCAAGATACGGTGTAACCAACAGTTTTTCCCAACTATTTTTGTTTAGTAGCTGCAGAGTGAATGCTATGTAAGGTTTTGATCAACGACACTAAACTTACGCGCAGTCAGTGAAACTTAATTTCCCTACTTGAATTAGGTGTCGCTATGAGGTGCGCTGCCATTCAAAATAATGCACTTCGTAATCCATCTCACACCAATGCCTACAATGCATTTCATCAAACAGTTTAAGTTAATTGCACTCGACTTTCATGTTCCACACAGCATCGGCCCGTTTCTAATGTATAATTTGAATGGCATCATTCCAATCTTAACAGACAAGCATCCGTTAACTTCTTCAGGAAAGCTGTAAAAAAAATTGACGACAATGCAATCCCAAGCACAGTCCAATCGAATCATCAAGTACGACGACTAACGCAGTTCGCTAAACACAAACCTCAGAAGAAGACGAAGAGGATTCATTCCTCTGGATGTAGCACAGCCCAATCCGATCTGGGAGCAACATCATCTCCTCCCTCCGCAACACTCGCTCCCCTCCCACAGAACCCGCCGCGAAGAGATCAGCAAGCTGCAGCAAACTCTGCCGCCAGTTTTTTTATAATGGATAGCAAATGTAGCATTGAATGGATCAAAAGAAACGTAAAGAGCTGGATGAAGATTGAAATCGAATGAGAAGAGTGGAGAAAGTTCGAATCACCTGCTTCAGATCTTTGAGGAGAGGAGACGAAATGTTCCGGAGATCGAGCAAGAAACAGAGATGCATTGCTCTATTCTCGCCGAGAGCAAACCCTCTCACTCCCTCGCCATTGACACCGGAGCCACTTTAAACGTAGGACGCTCCTCCCGGTCTCATCAATTCCTCTATCGCTTTTATAGCTGTTGCGGAAATGTTCATAAGTTGATAGAGTAGCCTCGGCCCTGGGTAGACCTAGAAACATTTTTGGAGCCATAAAATTTTAAAAATTTGAACAGCTTATTAAATAAATAATTAATGATTAATAAAATATTATTTTTACTCACTTCAATAATTTTTTTAACGTAATACTTACAAAAAAAAATATTGAGAATATTGAACTTAATTTCTATTAAAATTTTGAGAGATTTATAAACAACCCATACAAATCTTATATATTTATATATTTAATATCTAAGATTTCATATTTACATTTAAAAACACATAGAGTAATGCACTATTATTGGGTATATATGAAAATGTTCTCATGCACACGTTACAAATGTAAATTCATAAGAATTAGGAGTGTAAACGAGCCGAACATGAGCGAGCCATGCTTTGCTCGTGTTCGGCTCGTTTATATTTCGAGCTCAAAAAACGTGTTCGTGTTCGGCTCGTTTGCTTAACGAGTCGAACACGAGCTGTTCACGAACAAAGAGTCCTTTTAACAACCCTAATCATGTACTCATAAGACATAATACAATAAGGGTTTGAGCAAGATTTAAAAATTATTATTTATATTAAAACATCATTTGAATCTAATTTAATAATTTTTATTTTATTTTCTTAATCAATATTTTAATTGATTATAAATCTTTGTAGCCTTGTAGTAAATTAGATTTTTTAAAATACAACTTTTTATATATATATATATAAACTTGATGAGTAGTATTT